AACGAGGTCGAGAAACAGAGTTAGGATTAGCGTTATGCGGCCAACAAATATCATTAATTCTAGTCTACATACCTTATTGATGAGATGGTTCAAACGTCAAAACAAATCGAGTCAACTTCTCAACACTCGCAATAGTATCGTTTTGTGACAACACTTGACCATCTGTTCCGTGGTAGCTTTGGCGTGTAAAACAGGCAAAACGATCAGGAGGTACAACACAATACAGTTCTGGTTTTGACGGATTACCAAGTATTTCCAAAACATCACAAATCCCAGTCTGTTTGCAAGGATGATCTTTGGCACCGGTCATTTGGAAAAGTAGATTTGGCTTGATGAACGAATCAACAAATTCAAAAATATTGCTAATGGGACGGAAATAGCAATTCGTTGCGTCTTGAACTTGAGAGTTGTTGGAGAATAACAAAGTACTAAGATCCATCGGCAGTTGAAGTGTAGACTCCAGCTTGGTACGTAAATCACGAATCTTGAATGAACCACCTTTAGCGATGACTGTATGAGCGTGCTTTTCAAATAATACCCTATTAAGTTGACCAGTTTCACCAATTTCTCGAGCAACAGAAACGAATCTGATAAGATGATCTCGGTCTCTGGCATAGACACGGTTGTAAATTTCATCAACCACATAGTCAAAAGCAAACTGATAAGGACCACTGTGAAAGCCATCCTTGACTGATATATGAATCAAACAACTTGAAGCGTCTAGGTTTTCACCATATTTACCAAAAGACTTGACAACTGAATCGATATTGGAAATATTTAAAGCTTTGTCGAGAAAATTCTGTTGTTCTTTTACCAATGCATATTTAAGAACATAACGAGCAATTCCTCCCCACTTCAAATACAGACTTTCAACCAATTCTTGTGGGACTGTAGGAAAAAGCATTGAGCGACAAGAATGCAATTCTTCTTTTGACCACACTAGCATATACCGAATGTCGCAGGACCCCTTGGAAAACCGATGCCAAATTTCCCAACGAGGTAAAGTAACAAGAATGGTCTTGACATCAACATCAACAGGTGCCGAGCCATCAACAATGTAGAATGTTGACGAAGAATCCAAGATTTGCCAAAAAGCATGCTTTCCTCCTTCGAATACACCATTGGAAGTAAGCAGATATCTTTTTTGATCGGCTCCACTCTCATACACGACTGTAGCACCAGAGCGAGCAAGATGCAACAGCAAAAAGTAACCAAAATATGTCTTGCCAATTCCAAGATTTCCAAGGATGATCAAATGACGTATATCAGCAGATTGCACAATAGATAGTGATTTTTCAAGAAGTTTAGAATAACAAGGACGGATGTAAATGGATGATCCAATTGAATGGTTTCCAAGGATGAATACGTCTGCTGGAAGTTGGACAACAGTGTTTCCTTCAAGAGGGTTAGGGTAGTTTGTGAAAGCAGTCCAAAAATCCAGTAGTGCGGGTGAGGCTGCTGCAGATGTTGGACCTAGGTCAGTTTGAGTAGGTTGTATTGGAGGTAGAGGTAAACAACCAATAACAACACAGGAGCCTCCTTGAGTAAAGTATTATTGAGAAAGGGAGTCGAGTAAAGCCCAGGTGTTGATTAGTTGGCTCTTGTTACTGTTGGTGTAGAGTTGCAGTTGAGGAGCATCAATGTCAGCCATAGCAGGATCATACTCTGCCTTGATAGCATCATGAACGTCACTCAGGTCTTCAAAGTCAGTCACATCGATTTCAGCAGTAAGTGTGCCGTATTCAACATTGAGGAATCGTTTTGGCATTTTATGAAAAGAAAAAGAGTAAAAAAGCAATTTATTTGTCAAATTGTAAAACAAAAATCGACTTTTTAATCGAGTCAAAATAACAAAATTTTGGGATATTTCAAGACAATTCACACGATTTAAATATTTGGAAATTAGTCAAATTTACACCAGAATTAATGTCTCATTAATGTGAGACATTACTAGTGTGAGTGTTGACTTGCATTGTGTGAGACATTAGTAGTGTGTGAATGTGAGACATTTCTGAATAGTTTAACAATCAAAAACCATCAACAATGACGTTTGAACTGGAATTCACATGACTTTCTTGGTTTCTTCCATTTTATAAACACTCACTTTCTTGTTAATAAACAACACAATCGAATATTGATTCATTCCATCACATCTTCAATCAACTGCAACACACTTGCCAATAATGACAACCATCAATGCTGTCATATGTCCACAATCTACAATTGATATAATACCCAACACAGTACACACAAACATGCAGTATGTAATCAATGATATGGTTTTTGACCCATTCACAATACTCGACAAATATCAACATCAAAAAGTTTAAATTTATTCAAAATCAAAATCATTGACAAACCATCAATCCGAGTCCGGTTCTTCAAATCTCAAACCACTGCCTTTCCATAAACACTTTCAGATCATGTCTGATACTGTATACTCTTCTGCTTGCCTTTTCATACTCTTGCTTCAATTTCTTTTCAGTGTCTGGATTGTGCCTTGGTTCAGATATTTCTTTGCCCATTGCTAACGCTAACTGCTGACTGAATTTGAGGTCTGCATGTTTACAATATTTTTCGCGTTTTTCTTTTGCAATCTTTTTAGACTCTACAAGCCTTTGCTTTATACGATTAAAGCTTCTCTGATATTTTTGGCTTAATACAGTCGCTTGATTTGAACTAGTATTTGAAGACTCGTTATGAATCATTGGTTGTTGTTGGTCTTGTCTGGAAGTACTTGGAATGGGTTGATCAATCGGTTGTTTTCGATCTCGTTTTGGAGCACTTGGACTGGGTTCATTAGTTGAGCCAGACACTTGGCTAAAAATGCTTGGCCTGATTTCATTGATTGGCCGTTTCCGACTTCGTTTGGAAGTGCTTGAACTAGGCTGATCCATTGGCTGTTGCTGACTTTGTTTGGAAGCGTTTGGATCAACTTCATCAATTTGTTGTTGCTGGTTTTGTCTGGAAATCAGTAAATCAATCACATCCATTATGCGTTTTCGGCCTTGTTTGAGAATATTTGGACCAGTTATAGTTGCAGTCGGTTGTTGACCTTGAGTGGGAGTGTTTAGACCGGGTTGATCCATTGACCATTGCCGGATCCGGTCGGAAAGGCTTAAATCCACTGGTTCTTGCTGGTATTCATTGGAAGTGCCTGGATTAGGTTCATTAGTTGAAACGGACACTTGACTGGAAGTGACTGATGCTTGGAGTGAACCATCATTATCAGTCGGGATCAGTATTGCATTGGCAGTTGTTGCTGCAGTCAATACGAATAAAATATCAACCAATTTCATCAGATTGGTCAATGAGTCCAAACAATAGTACAAAAGTAGAGTGTCGAGATTGGTGTCGATTATAAAGTTGAATGAACTCAATCGATTGTATTTGTATGTTTTGTATATCAAACCAACCCTAACCCTTATAGGTTAACCAACAACACAGGGTTATTTGATTGCTTGTAGTGAGCAACTATCAAACTAGACAGTATGTTACTCCCTATCCACAATATCATATTGATCAATTTGATGATCATGTCGATTGAATTATGCTTTTACAACCCTTTGATCAGGTATGTTGAAAAGCACACCCTTCATGAGTGTTGTTTAACCGCAAACGCTTTGATTTACAACCGTATTCATCCAACAATGTTTGTATTCTGCATTGCAATATACAATGGTTATTACACATTGACTGCATTGCGTGTTCCATATACAACAATCATCATACGACACAATCAGACTATAATGTTGAATCTACACTTTGTGCACTCTTAGTAATCATACATTGTACGATCACCAAGTTTGAACCCACATTCATATATTGTGTTTGACTGTCAATGTTGTCAATACAACTCTGCACACTCATTTATTGTATTCTGAATCTCGGATACGATCGCAATCTAGTTCAGCAACAATCATGACATATGCCAATAATGCAACTGTTTATTACACACCAACACTGTTATTTAGTGGTCCATTTACATCAATATGGTTGCAAGTTGTTGTTATATCACGTATTCTGGACATGGTTTTAGTATTGCACATCCAGCTCCATTACATTGTTGTTGACCCATCATTGTAACGATGTATGTCCCCATAATCATAATCATGGACATGAGCATGTGGTTTTACGTATAATATTACAACCACGCATGTCGTTGGTTGCATCATCACTACTAGTGTATACTACACTACATGTATGTTGGCATGTGTTGTACCAATTTGATTGCATTGCTACAATGTGGCATGCTCCAACCTGTTTGAATGACTGTTGTACAACATATTGATATTGACCACATGTGATACTGGTCACCAACAAAGTGATCAGCGGTATTTAATCGTATCATTCAATCACTGACTGCCAATACTTCAATTATGAATACTATCCACCATTTCATGACACCATCTGATACATTCAGTGCACAGTAGTTGATTGGTGCAATATGATCAATTCAAGCATACTATTACAATGAAAATGGTGGTGACAATGCAAGGTGTTTATTGGACAAACAAGACTGAATGCTTACATTACAAATGCAAATTGACAGTATAAATCATATATACACACTGCAGTACAGCATATTCTAAACGAGGTTGTTGATAGCGTGATTCCAGTTTTACAATGAAATTGAATTACCAAACAGTCTAGTGTCCAAACATTGATTTACTATACACTTTTAGTTATGGTGGTTTGCGTAGAAATGTTCAAGTATGCCTTCTATATCCAATGAACCTCAGCATTTGTCGTTTGAATCTATTAAACTTTGAACGTAATGAAGGAAGTTGAATATCATATTCTTGCAGTACACTAGATTCACTTGAATATCTAGCAATTTTAGTCGTTGGTACAAAGTGTACTTTAGCTTCCCTTGGACCAACATCGTGACTTGACTTTTGCTGATGTTTTTTAGAATGATCGTGTTTTGAGCCGTGGGGTTTAAAAGTGGATCCGGGTTTTAAGATGGATTTTAATTCTGGAGTAGGTTCAGATACAACTCTGATTGATTCTTCTTCAAGAGGTTCAAGAGCAAACTTGCGACACATCCATAATCTTCCTAGCTTCAGTCTCTTGAATTTCTTTTTATCAGATGAGCTCATTCTACGCTCCTTTTGTTTAACTTCTAGTATTCTTTCCTTTGTCTTGGCGTTCATTTTGTGCGGATATCCGTCTCCAACATCAGTTGGAATTTCCATACCCATATTCTTCATTATTTTTTCGACTCTATCCAGCCTTTGCTGAGGTGTGAGAATATACCGTTCATTCTCTGGGATATATTTTTAGGAAGATGGCAGACGTCGTCATATAGTGTGTTGTCAAATATATCATCATCTGACTGTTTGGACTGAGAGTATGACGATGATTCATCGGACTGTTCAACAGAACTGTCTGAATCATCAGGATCTATAGTTGACTGAGCTACATCATGATTGGTTTCAGTTGATTGTTGCTTTGTTCCAGTTGAAGCGCAAATACCAGTGTGTTGCTGCATGTGTTGAACATTCTTTTACAGATTCTGATTCGCTGGCAGACGGACGATTAATGACTACTGCAGACTGTCACCGACAACAGTGACAACACAATAGTCGATATGAATTTCATTCTGTTGACGAGAATGAATGTGATAAAGCTTGTCAATTAGTAGGACAATTCTTGGTAATGAATGGGTCAGTTGTGGATATGGACCATACTTTTATGGTGGTTAAATATATAATCAAGACATAAGGGTTATATGAGCTTATGCAGCAACAACTCTACCGCTGTTCAAGTACATATAGCATATACTCATGTGTAGGCTGTTTTATGCACAACTCTTCAACCATTGAATGAAACAGGACTCATAGTCAAGGACTGGTGACCCTGACCCATATACTAAAGAATATGTCAAGATCGATTGGCATGATCATTCAGTTTCAGGTTACGGTCAGTATAGGGTAACGGTTTATCCACACAACAGCTGGTCAAGTATTAGTGGTAAAATCCTTCAAACAGCTCTGCCTCAACACTTGATCTAGTGATATGATACTGTGTTGCAGTCCTGTTCAATGCAGTATGGATTGATGGTCATATCAGCAATATCAATACTTTATGCCAACTGTAATACCTTGAATACGCCAACTCAAAGTATTGCCAATCATTAGAAAAGCTTCAACAGAACTCTTGAACTGTCAATTGTCATGCTATCAATAGTATGAACATCCGACTCAACACTGTACATGACTGGTTGTCAAGAGTCTTGCAGCATTTACTTGTCAAACTGGATTCCTGTTTCGATTATACAAACATGACATCAAACACATGTCTACTTTGGAACAAGACGTTGAGTTGAATGTCCAGCAATATACAAAAATATACAAAAACAGCACGAATTGAATGTCAAAACTCGATTACTAACAATTTCAAATCTACACAAACGAATACGACAACTTGCAGTCTAGTCATGTAAACGGAACACTAACAGTGTTGGTGTGTAATAAACAGTCAGTGTCATGGACTGGTTGACAATACAGTGGTGTTGTTGGTGGTGATTGGCATGAAAACAACAGTTGCATTACTGACATGTGTCATGATTGTTGTTGAATTAGATTGCGATCGTATCCGTGATTCAGAATACAACAAATGTGTGTACAGAGTTGTATTGCAACATCGACAGTCCAACACAATACATGAATGTGGGTTCAAACTTGGTGACCATACAATGTATGACTACCAAATGTGTCGAGTATCCATGCAGAATACTAAATGGTAATATGTGATGATCCAAGGGACTCGTATCACCAATGTTTGTGTGCCATAACTCCACTATTTGACTTGGTAAACAATAGGAATTACACCTATTGATCAATTTACTTTTCTGATTGCTCATCATACATTCTACTTGTTTGTGTCACCAAGATACAAACAATCAATTACTACAAGACTGACTATAACTCATATTTATTAATAAATGACTCGTCAAACTATTTCAACATATTATTGTTTTATTACATCTTTTCATTATCATTGAAAACCCCAAGTCTGCTGATCCTGAATTATTGTGCAACTCCCATTACACTTTTGATTTGTTCTTTTCTGTCAACTACTAACAGTTACAGATCATACACACAACTCCATTTAAATTAATATAAATCAGATTACACAAAACTCCAACAGAGTTGTTGGTTGTTGATGGGCAAGTTGGATATAAAGTTGTTTTCAATCAATCCGTTGGCAATCATGATAGCATACTTTGATTTGTATGTACGCAATACTGCTGTCATCTTGTGTATGGTGTTTTCTATTCCTACAAACACATTCCATTTCCAGCTGTTTCCTTTGCAGACATTTGATGTTGTGTAGCATGTTAAAGAATTTAGGTGTATCGAAAAAGTAGAGTATACAAGATAGACAAAAATTACCGAGTCTTTCAACAAGTAATAATATAATATGCTGCTATATAAAATATTGGTAACGCTGGGTTTTTTGAAAAGTAAGAGTAGTGATATTGAAACATAAGGGTGATAATGGAGATAATGAGGAAATGATAAATTAGGGAGTGTCCAATGCAAGTACTAATGCTTGCTTGTTAAGGGTTGAAGCTTAGATATCTTGCTTGGATATTACAACAGATACACGCTAACCATTCAAACTATACGTAAACGGCCAATGTCTGATTGCTTTAACATAACAATAAGGGTGTAAAATGTAGTACAGAAATAGACGACTAAATTATATTTATTCCAATGGGTTTAGCACTCTTGTTCAAGTAAACCGGTATCATCCGATGCTCACTACACACTGCTTGTACGTTGAATCATGCCAATCACTTGCTATTTTAACAAGTATGGAATATCACAACACATATTGATGACCAACTAATAGCCGAGTGTCAACTCATTCCAGTCTCAGTTTATACTCATTTCTCAACCCTAACCCTTGACCATAGCCATTTTTAGGGTGGGACTGCATAGCCAACCACATGATATTCGAGCGTATGGTCAGATAGCAGCCCAGCCAAGGTTACAGGTCAACATATAAAGGAAGACTCTTCAAAGTTTGGCATTGACAACAAATCGCCATTCAACCCTGACAATAAAGTCAACCCCTTAAAACGACCATTCAAGGAATATGCTTTTAATATCATTTATTCAGTAATGGATATAAATACAGTTCAAAACTCGACTTGTTGAATGACATTACAACTTGCGCAACCAACCACCAAAATGAAATTCTCAATTGCCGTACTGTCATCAATCCTTGCTGTCTGCTCGGTCACAGTTTCCAATCCAGTTGATCCCAGTGAAAGTACAGATGATGAAGATGGCATTTCAACATTCATTCCCAGTGCAACTACAAGTACTGAAGATAACACTTTTACCGGCATTCCCACTGTATTTAAAGGTGTCGAATATAATTTTTGGATAGATGCTAATCCAGACGGTATAGGCTTGGGTGCTCTTGATGATCCACTTTCAGGTAACGTCAAGCATTTACTCGACAAATACGCAGAGATACAGGATGGTCGTAATCAGCAAAGCAAGATATATTGGCCGTTAAAATCTCGATATGACAGTCAATATGACGTGGTACTGGGCTTCAAAAAAGATCTTAAAGTTCTGGAATACCTATCTCAAGACGATGACAGCCTAAAATATTATATTGAAATTCGGAAGACTAAGCTTGATCATGAAAAACAACTATCCAAACTTGACAAAATTCGAAAAAGTTTTGATGAGTGCCAGTTCAAGATTGGTCTTCTTGTAGAAAAAAGTGGGAGACCGATAAAAAGATTGTGCGTCTCATTTTCGGAACCCCTCTGGATGTTGTAACAGTTATTTACAAATCTTCGCTTATCAAAGAAACGCCTTCCGTTAATGATTACATTGAAAAGCAATCATTAAAATATGAGAGTATTGATCAAAAATCTGGTGGTCGACGAAAACGCAAAGATTTGGAATCATCGGACGAAGAATCGGATGAAGAATTGGATGAAGAATCTGGATATAAATTCAATCGGAAGGGCACTTTCAGTATGCGGAGAGCTTCCTCCAAGTTTATCACTAGATTTGGATCATTCTTTCAGAAATCCAGACGTGACGATCCATCCAATTGATTTGAATGTTAATCTGGACTCGTTTCAACTGATTCAATTATCATTTTATTTAATTTACAATAAATTTGTATGTGCATGCATTATATCTGATTATTGTACACAGTTTTGGTTGGTATCATATCATATTGTACATTGACACTTGTATTTCCAATACGATACAATACAGTTGACTATATATTGCATAGTTGTACACATTGATGATGCTGACATGAATGTGTGTATTGTGTCGATATGATATTGCTTGTCATGTCGTATTGACACATGCAACACCAATACCAATAATAGTCATGTGTGTTGATATCTGATCCGACCAATTTGACTGGTTTGACTCGTTGATTGTGGTGTCAAAATGGTTGTATCAATAGCCTGACTGATCACACACATCAGTCGCAGTATCAACTTTGTCGTGTGTCAAGTATCACATGTTGAATATACAATGCCAACAATATGGCCATTATGCACATGTTGATGTATCCAATGATCGTATACTGGTCGATTGGTGTAATATGATCACACATACTAATGGAATGTGATAATCATGGTATTTGCAGCAGTATACCATATTCCAACTGTTGATATTGCGCATCCAATATTGGCATGATCATCCAGATATACAGTGATGGATTCAATCCATACCATGTATTGCCAATGCAATAGTATGCGTGATCATCGTGTATTAAACAACTACGATACACACTCAACTGATCCAATACATGCACGGCTTGGACATATCACACAATCAAACATGAACACACCACATTAAATATACATATAGTATCAGTTTGTCTATAATGAATTGTATTCAGTCGAGTTTATTGAGAGTATGTTTGTGACTCTTGACAGTGTGGTGAGTGTTTTCAGGCACAGCTACTTGATTAGTTGTAGTTGTTGGTTTCCTCCTGCGAATAAATGTGCCATCTGAACCTGAAGTACTTGGTTGTTCAGGCAATCTAACAGTATACATCAAATTCATGATCAGTATCAATTAACACATCCACATATCAATATCAAACAACTTACCGTGGTAATGGCCAGAGCACTTGATAATGATCCGAAATAGTAGGATATCCATCAGTCGAGAGTTCGCATCCACATCCAGGACCAAACCCAATGCGTTTATTTTGTAAATCAAATGTGACTGCAAGTCGGTTCATAAATGACATGCCAAGAATTGAATAATCATCTGAACCAACTCTTACAGTAAACCAAACTATAATCCAACATTTATATTAGTCAGGTTAATCAAACAACACATTACATACAATTGTCAACTATTTACCATGCTTAGAGTTAATGTTTTGCATATAATCTTTGGAACCCAATTTGATTGTTACAACGGAGTTGTAGTTGTCATCAGTTACGGGAGTTTGAGCAAACATTTTAATTGTAAGCGACGGCAGCCTGCTCCAATCGATATCATATTTGGATTCAATCATTGCGTAATGTTTCCAAAATATTTCATCAATATCTTCCGAGTTGATTTTGTTACTAAACATAGTTTTTTTGACAGTGATTGCATTACTACCAACAATAGCATCAACCAACGCTTTCACGACTACTTTAGGGAAATGAATAAATGTAAAACATGTTTGTATAACCGAGTACAGAGTACGTCCATCTTTTCCTTGGTTTTTTTGGAATTCAGCAGGCAGATCCACTTGTTTGCCATTGATTAGTATACTCTTGATGTTGACAGTATGGCGACCGTCTGGTGGTGAGTCTACCCATGCAACACTCCTTCCATTCGTTCCACATTTTGGAGTTATGTCCGTGTTTCCTATATTGATGAAGCTATCTGAAAGCATTTCATACGGACATAGTTGAATACTAACCTCGTTATTGGGAATGGCATCATTGCTGTACAAAGCATCCATTGCAGTGATTCGTGAATGATGTTTTGACAACGAGGGATAGGCAAAGCCAAACATTCCATCAAACTCTGGATCGATACCAACCGAATCTGCCGATTGTCTTTCAGATGCTATTACTGGTAAACTGATGTCAGTTATCCTAGTACCCGGAATTGTCACAACGGCTGTGGATGTAACTCCTCTATACTCTTTGCCTTTGTACTTTATACTAACGGGGTTTCCACTTGTAATACTTTGTATAGCCAAACCTATATCGTTGCTTGAACCAGGAAGTGGTACAATTATATCGGAGATTGATGAATCGACTCGTAAATTCAACTATTTTAAACAAGTGTGAGATTGATTAAACGTGGTGCAAATTGATATCAAACTACAATCCATAACATGATACATACATCAACTCCATGAACATTGACTTTCATTGTGAAGCATTGATCAGCATCACGGCCCAATTCAACGGGTGATCGTTTTGATAGCCTATTGTTTGATTGACTGTCAATTTCAAAAGGTGATTCTAATGCAATTCGAACTGCAGCAACCGCCTGTAACGCAAGTAGAATGCATTCTAGAGTAATCAGCATTGTATCGAGTATTGTAATGAAAATGGGTTGAATCTGATACATGACTGCTGTTTTATAACAACGGCAGTTTCAAGGGTGACAATCAGCACTTTTCAAATCTGATCAGAAAACACAAATACACCATATAGGGTGGGCAAAGCCAAAAACACCCTGTAGGGTGGATCAGTATACAAGCATCGCTGTTAGTATTAAAAATCAACCTCGGTATTATGCTGCGTTGATATTTCCAATTGCGGTGATGTATTCAGCAATCAGGTAGTGTCAGATCATTACCCTGATTATGGATAATTATCATCACACATACAATCCATCACTACAGCATATACTGTCATTGTATACCAAATGTTTGACTGATTGTTCAATTGGTCATGTATTTGATTTGTCCGAGCAATTCAAATCATGTCGAAATGGTTGTTGAAATATAAATATATATCATCCAAAGTTGATTCAGATTGTCGCTAGCTGTAATCTGTTGATCTGTCAATGTGTGATCATGTGTCAATCTCTTTGATACAGCCATCAAGCTCGCATTGCCTACATACATTTTGAAGTAATTCTACTGGATCACCACTTGTATCTTCCAAGACACGTCGAGGGATTCCACCAAGGACTTTGAAGCGATGGCGCCAGTCAATATCAATGGCAAAATCGAGTGCAATGGCTTCCAATTCTGGTTTAGTCCATAATGGCATGTAAAAGATCTGAAGGGGAAGGGATTTTTTAAAGTTGTTGGTTAGTTCTCGTTTTGGCGAGGTCGACACCACAAATGAACACCTTTCATAGGGAAGTGCATCTAGATATGCTGCGTTTTTGCCTTTGGCGTCAAACAAACACCACAAGTCAGATGCCCAAAATGTGTGGTCAACAACTGATGGTAGACTAGTTAACTCAAACACACCGCCTTGACCATCGTAATAGATAGTGTCTGGATGATAAATGAATAGCACTCGTTTTCCTTGCTTGATCAACTTCCACAATAAGTAGATGAGAAATAAAGACTTGCCAATGCCAGGAGTTCCTGTGATGATTGTTTTGTTGATGCCGGGCTTGATGTTTGATGCAATGGATTTATAACTGTCCCGAATAAAGAGTCGTTTCAACGTAGATGAGGGAATCTCTTGTTCAAACAAAAGCCATGTATCCTGTTCAACAGCGTTGCATATGTTGTTGTAAAAGGGGATTGGGCAGGGCAAGAACAAATCAAGTTGCATTGGATCTGAAGCAATAGCGGTAGTGTTGATGAGTGAAGTGGTTCTTGCATCAATACCACTCTTGGATTTAATGATTAATGAATGTTCGTAAGAACCAATATGATTTTGAATGGAGGTTAATAGAGTATTCCCAGCAATGGCTGGACCATTCACCACATAATGGAGAGTGAGCTCGTCAACAGGGACATTGTCAAGGAGGGGAGTGGTGGCAGTCTTGTAAGCTGCAATTAGTTTCGAAACACTATCAATTGGGGTTCTCCTTTCCACGTCTCCTCCATTGAAGTGAGTTTCGATTTCCACTGACTGATTGTCAAGATATTTGATATAGAATACTTTGTTTTCCATTGCAATTTGAAAGAAAAGAAACAAAAAAAAGCGACTTGAATTCAAAATTTAATATTGTGTGAAGAATGAGACAAATTCACACTGAATATTGTTTAAGCAACTTTGTGTTTATTTGTATTGTTCAATCGAGTGTCAATTCAACTCAATTGATTACATTATAATAGTATATCAACCAACGAGACCAGTTTTGTTGGTTGATACTCGTTGATAACTTGTTGATAACTTGATGAAAATGTGTCAAACCATGACTTTTATGACAACACTGTACAAACTGTACGAGTTTAAAAGATTATTGGTGAATATTGTCCAATTTGATTGTTGACTGCAATTATTTTGGTTGGTTCGAGTTTCATTCTTTTGTCAAAAAACATCAAATGAATATTGAAACAACAAAGACAGCAACAACACAACTGTTGAATGAATATTACCAAATCAGCACTCAAGCCATACCAACACAGAGAGTCAAGTCTGAATGGCAGGATGACAACAAACGAGGTTTGTTTTTGGGAATCATCCAAGAGGGAGAAACCTCACACATCACTCGACTGCACAACCTGCTGACTACCAACCAATTTGCAGAGCAGCAAGAGTTCTCAACCAAGGTCCAGTTGGCAGACCCAAAACATCCTCGTACATTCATTGATGACATGTTTGGGTATTACATACTGCCATTCCACAAAGACTACAACGATTCATCCAGCTGTCACACTCCAGTTTCATCAAACCCAACATCAAGAACCAACTCTGCTGATGATCTGGACTATGTTGCAAAAGTGAGTGAGCTACAGCACAAGGACTTTAACAAGGTGGTTGAAAAGAGAGACAGAGTCTGTTTGTTTTGCTGGAATAAGTTGTCCTTCAAGGAGCACACATCATATCCCAAAAGAACATTGGAATGGCATACAACAAACCATCCATATTGCAATGATCTGGCTTGACGCAGAAACATCAAATACAGAACGGACTGTTGTTGTGTATCAAGTGCCATGACCAATTTGGTAAACTAAAGCAATATGTGGATGTAGTGGATGACAAACTGGTGATCAAAGTGATCAATGATCTGACAAGTGACAAGCACAAGAAGTGGATTGAGACAATTGAAGATTTGAAAGTTATCCGCAGAACAAGGCAAAAGAGATAAACTGACAATCGACAAACAGTCGAATCCAACAGTGAAATGACATTGTATTTCATTCACAACAATCTCACTCGACTACCAAACAGGAACGCACTAGAGTTCCACAAGACAGCATGTCTCATTTGGTGTATGGCTGGTGGTGTAGAATCTGATGATGAATATTGTCCATATGATGATGACGATGGCTGCACTCCTGTCGATTACCAGAGTAAGAATATCGAGAGATGGATGGACTCGAGTGCTATTTTGATCATTGAAAATGTTCAATAAAGTTGTGTATTCATTACAAGAGACTGGTTTCTGTTACAGCAATAGTTGTCATTGTAGTGAGTGTGAATACCAACAGTTGTTGCTGACACTTTTGAATTTAAGCAATAATGAAAGCAACTCAAATGTCTCTTTCCATTGCAGTGAGACAGTTTGTCAACCAACAATCTCTCATCAATTGATGACACATTCATATTCCAGTAATGATGATGTTGCTACCAATGATCGTGGAACTGATAGTGCAGTCTTTTTACACTGTGGTGGGACAACTCGGTATCATGTCAATCATGTCCATCGTTGTGGAAATCACTTGTTAATCTACTCTGAATGAACAACTTTCTTTCAATCTGTGTATCGACTGTATCGATTGTATCGTCCAACATCAAACATTATGTCAATCAATAATAGTCAAAATACAATATTATATTTTCTGTACGATTATTATAAATCACAATCAATGAAATCCATGTAAGCTACCAACTCCATCAAAACACTCACTTGCTCCATTTGCCATGAAGTTGTTACAACACTTTTGATTCAATGTCAGGATGCCAATCACTTTGTATATCCTGTATATCTTGAACCCAGTGGAACTGTCCGATTTGTAGGACTGTCCGAGTTTTACACAACATGATGCTGGAAAGAACCATCAAATCACAAATGATTAATTGTGAGCATGATAATTGTAAAACATCAGTATTTCTGTAGACAAAACACAATCATGACAAGAATTGCAAATCCAGAACAACAGGATGTGACTATTGTACAGAACTTGCATCAAAACCTTGTTTGAAGACTTGTTTCAAAACTGAATGTAATGTATTTTGGGTCGACGGAAATGAATATTCAAAATCGTTGACCAATTGCATGAAAACAGGAATCCCAATCAGAATTGAAATTGAACACATTAAAGTCATTTGTCATCATATCCCATGGCCAGACACCAGTATTCAAAATAGGAAATAGTCAATGGTTATTCAAAATAATCAATATTTGCCAAAATCCAAACAATACAATCATGATAACTTACTGGCTACCTCAAATCAGCAAATCGTTTGAAAATAATACCACAATAACTATCAAACATTGAATGTAATTGATGATTCACCAACAATACCACTGGATGCGGTAGATTTGGAATATCAGATACAACAAGCCAAGTGTCAATATGGCAAACGATGAACTGGATGTGTTTTTCCAGCATTTGCTTGACCCAAGAAATGGTGCTGGGTTCCATCAAGATTACGGATTCATAGTATGATATATTTAACATGTTTGGCGTCTACATCGGCACTCATTACCATTTGATACAATTTCTGCTGTAATGTGTGCTGTTTTTCCATCACTTTATCAAGAACATCTAAATCGCTAAATACATGATGAGCCATTCGGTCTACATTGATCTGAGCGTCCGTTACAGTGTGATGATGACTTTTGATCAAAGTACTAAGCCAGAATGTAAAATATACATACAATACAATGTCTTGTAGTAACTCTTGTTCAGTAACTCATTGACTCAATGATAAAGCGACTTGTATTGATTTTGAATGATACTTTTCATCAAGGAATTGAATGTTTGATTTCAAGAGTTTGTTGGGATCCATTTTGATTGGGTTGTCCGACTTGAGCATATATCGAGGTATGATTTCATGAGTAATAGGTTCAATATCATTGCACAAATAGTGGGTTGCTACTTTCACAAGATGGTTGGTTAGATTTCGTTCAACAACATGATACTTTTGACCGTTTTTAGGTTTGATGAAGACCGAGTTCACGACCAAAGTTTGTAGATACTTGGATCTTAAGGATGTGCTTGTGATGTGTAATGTCATTGTGGTGGTTTTGAATAAACCCAAGAAAATACATTTTGGAATGGTATCAACAAACAATTGGATTGGATTTATTTTCTATTATTGTTTAAACTCGTTGAAAATGTTGGAAACCTGTTGGAAACCTGTTACAAAGTAATTCTGATTTGGACGAAAATAGTGGTTCAATTGGCTCATACAAAGTCCATTACGAGATGCTCGGATTGAGTTTTGTCGTTGATTTATTGTTGCCATTAGGAAACCCTCAATAACAATATCATGAAAATGATTGGATCAATGGTGAATATTGATGTTAAACTCGTCAAAGTCAAGTTGCGGTTTACAAAACGTATCCAAGGATTCAGGAGTCGAGTTGAAGCAACAAAGGCGTACAAGCAACTGATTCAACTACAAATAGAGCATTGGAACCAAGCAAGCAAGTTAAAGCGACAGTTTAATAGATATATCAACAAACATCCTTTCCACCCAAAATACAATACAATACAATACAGTGCAAGACACATGCTCACCAATGTGATGGAGTTGATGCAAAATATACCGAAAAATCACCAATCAAAACATTGGATATTGGCTTGATATTCAATTTGGGTATATGCTACAAAATGTAGACTGAAAAGACAATTCAATTTAATATTTCAGATAATACATTATTGTTTAATGGTAACAATCAATCCATGATTAATATGGACATTGACATTGTTTTGGATCTGATTGACGGAAATGATATTATTGAATGCATGAAACATCATAATTCAAAGTATATTGTTGAAAGTATTTATGAATATGCCATTTTGCAAGTAACACTGGTTGTTATCATGTCATTGATGTATATGGAACAAACCGTGTCAATGTATCAATCAACAATCCAGTAACTGTTGGTGTAATACCCAACACAATATAGAATAAATGATATGGCTGTTGACCCATTCACAATACTCGACAAATATCAACACATATCAGAAAGTTTAAATTTATTCAAAATCAAAATCAAATTTATCAATCTGAATCCGAGTCCGGCTCTTGAAATTCCAAACCACGCCTTTTCATAAAAATCTTCAATTCTTGTCTGATACTGGGTACTTTTTTGCCTTCCACTATATACTCTTTTCTTAATTTCTCTTCAATGTTTGGATCGTACGTTGACCCTGATATTTCTTCTCCCATTGCTAATACTAGTTTGTGTTCCAATCCAATGATTGCATATTCACGATATTCTTCGCGTTTTTCTTTTGCAATCTTTTTAGACGCTACAAGCCTTTTCTTTATACGATTAAAGGTTCTCTGATCCTGTTCGTTTAATACAGTCGCTTGATTTGGAACAGTATTGCCCGACTCGCCTTGTTCCATTGGTTGGTGTTGGTCTTGTTCCATTGGTTGTTGTTGGTCTTGTCTGGAAGTACTTGGAATGGGTTGATCAATTCTTCGTTTCCGACTTTGTTTGGAAGTACTTGGACTGGGTTCATTAATTGGATCTTGACTGGGAATATTTGGATTAATTATAACAAATAGTGGTATCCAATATTTGCAAGAAGTACTTGGACTGGGTTCATCAATTGGGTCTTGGCTGGGAATATTTGGATTAATTATATCAAATAGTGGTTTCCAGTATTCGTCAGAAGTACTTGGACTGGGTTCATTAGTTGAACCAGGCGCTTGACTGCAAGTGTTTTGACTGGTTTCATCGATTGGCCGTTTCCGACCTTGACTGGAAGTGCTTGGACTGGACTGATCAATCGGCTGTTGTGGATCTTTGTTGGAAATATTTAAATCAGTTGCATCTATTGGGTGTTGCTGAGTTTGATCGGAAATACTTGAACTGGGTTGATCAGCTGGTTGTTGTTGGTATTTGTCAAAAGTGTTTGGATCAACTTGATCAATTGGGTCAGAAACTTGACTGGGAGTATTTAAACCAGCTATATCAAACAGTTCTTTCCATTCTTCAAAAGTGTCTGAATTGACTTCATCTATTAAGCGTTGCCAGTCTTTGTCAGGGATGTCTAAACCGGGTTCATCAGTTGATTGTTTCCGGCTTTGTTTGGAAGCACTCGGACCGGCTTGATTCATCGATTGTTTCTGACTTTGTTTGGAAATGTTTAAACCGTGTTCATCAATCGGCCGTTTTTGAGCTCGTCTGGAAGTACTTGGATCAGCTACATCTATTGGTTGTTGCTGATCTTGGTTGAAAGTACTTGAATCAGGTTTATCAGTTGTACCAGATACTTGGCTGGAAGTATCTGAACTGGGTTGATCAATTGGTTGTTGCCGATCTTCATTGGATGTGTTTGGATCAATCGGATCAAATAGGTATTTCCAGTCTTCGTCAAGAATGCTTAAATTAACTGCATCCACTATACTTTGCAAGTCGTCCAAAGTATTTGGATCGGGTTCATCAGTTGGGACAGACACTTGACTCGAAGTACTTGATGCTTGGGGTGAACCATTGTTATCAATCGGTATCAGTATTGCATTAGCGGTTGCTGCCGCAGTCAGTACGAATAAAATATCAACCAATTTCATCAAACCAATCAATGGGTTTAAACAATTAATACAAAAACAGAGTGTCGATTATAGGACTGGACACACTCGATTGTATTTGTATGTTTTGTATATCAAACCAACCCTAACCCTTATAGGTTAACCAACAACACAGGGTTACTTGATTGCTTGTAGTGAGCAACTATCAAACTAGAAAGTATGATGCTCCCTATTCATAATATCAATTTGATCAATTTGATGATCATGTCGATTGAATTATGCTTTTACAACCCTTTGATCAGGTATGTTGAAAAGCACACCCTTCATGAGTGTTGTTTAACCGCAAACGCTTTGATTTACAACCGTATTCATCCAACAATGTTTGTATTCTGCATTGCAATATACAATGGTTATTACACATTGACTGCATTGCGTGTTCCATATACAACAATCATCATACGACACAATCAGACTATAGTGTTGAATCTACACATTGTGCACTTTTAGTAATCATACATTGTACGATCACCAAGTTTGAACCTACATTCATGTATTGTGTTTGACTGTCAATGTTGCCAATACAACTCTGTACACACATGTGTTGTGTTCATCACCATCCAACCCAATCTCACCATTTCAATCAATCTTGGTCAATGTTGATGATTTACACGCTAATTCATTATCCAATCTTGTCTGACATTATTATTGGCTTTAATCACGTTTGGTTTGTACAACTGCCATGAGTTGTACTACCATTATCATTGTGTATCTGATCACCAAATATTCCAATACATCAATAATACCACAGTGTAAACAGTAATACAGTTGATCAGTATTGTGGCAAGACTTTTCATTCAAGTTTGTATTTGGAAATACTCGATGGTTTAATCACCACACACTATTTGTAATGCGATTTTCATTGATATCATTTCATTCCAGTTCAGTCCATCTGATTTATGATGATGTTTAGTAATCCATTACCATGTGTTGTAGTAAACTAGTTTGTTTATTGAACCAAATCTACAACGATCACATTCAGAATATTAATTTACAGTATTTCTAAATGCATGTTTGATAACAATCCAATTTTGTTACAAAAAACTGATCAAAACAATACTAAAATGGAACAACTCGTTTGTGTGTTTGACAACAATCCAAACATGAACAATTCTTGGCAATTGTTGGACATTCGCATGAATGAAATTGTCAAATCAAAATTCAACTTTACTAATTTTATCAAACATGGATTGTGTTGATATCATGAAAGAGTTGATCCAACGCCTGGAAGATTTGAAACTGTTAACAACGGATGATCAACTGCACAAGGCTGGACAAATATGGGACAGACTGCTTGACTTGCTACTGGAGTTGAAACAACATAACTGCAGTAAGTTTAATAGTCATTGTGTTATTGATGAATTCAATCTGTTGTTGACTTTGTGTTGGTTTGAAATGGCATGATATACAAATGTAGTGCATCGTTTACAGAGTATTGAACTGCAAGATATCATAACCAAGTATTTGGAGTATAATCGACCCAGTTTACAGGTATTCATATATTGTAACAATAATGGACTGTTCATGACTAAACTAATCAACATGTGTTGTGTAGATCAAAGTAATGGAGTTTACTGCAGTATTTTTGAGTATTGTATACTATTATGATCAGTTTAAAGTATCTCAACGACTAAGCAACCAAATTGTACAATGCATGCAATCACCAAGTCGTCAAGTCAAAATGATGGCAAGTCATGATTGATATTGACCAAATGATTGTCATTCAACTCACCCAGTGTCAATATGCATATAGGCGATGAAATCATGTACAGAGTTGTACACATATAAACGCTGGAGTCAAGAGGATCAATTTGACATCAAGCCAATGGTTGAGATTATTGTTCACGAGCCTGATCAACAAGTGCTCGAATTGGCGATTGACCTGTTCTTGGAAGTTTGCAGTGAGGTTGACGATGAAAATGTATGTTTACAATGATACAATATTGGATCAGTTTGGGCAGTGTCTTGTCATGTCTTGTTGATTGTATATTTGACATTGAACAATATCATTAGTTTGGCATCGTGGTATCAAGACTTATTTCACGACTGGAATCATCTAGTGGTTCAGTTGCTGTTGGGTTTATCAAAAATCTTGAAACCATGTTTTGGAATATTCATCGTCATGACCCAGTAAAAGCAGTGGAATGCGGTGTCATTCCAGCAATAGTCAATACGCTCAGGTATGTGGTGTTATGCATGAATATGTGCCCAGTCATTACAATTAGTAAATTTGACATGGTTGGATTGACATGACATGAATACAGGAGTGTCGATCAAGAAGTGATTGGTCAAAGTATTGATACTATTGAGAACTTTTGCGACTATGCAGATTGTGAAGCAATTGCAACCGAGTTGATAAGGTCGGGTCTGATTCAAATGTTTAGTGACTTGTGTGTCAGATACAGCAACGACTTTGCATTAAAAATGCGCATGATCTGGATAGCAGGAAGGTTTGCATCCAAAATGCACGACTTTCCTGTATCGCTTGTACGATCGTTAGTTTTTGAGCAATTGACGATGTCAGTGTATGATGTCAATATGGGTGACTCTTTGCGTCTGTTTGATTATGTCAGCGACATGATTCAGAAATCTACAAACAAGGACGAGATGATCAAGGTGTTTCGAGAATATGGAATTGATATTTACACAACCACAATTGTAACCACAACTGCAATCAGCACAGTCTGAATATTAGACATTTGAACATCACGTATCGAGTTGTGGATAAATGCGAGTTGGCATATTGGACTGTTTTTGTAGTTTATTAATGATTTAATTCACGACTGTTTGAATTCAAGGCTCAATATGGATTACAACTGGATTGTCGTTGTTTCCATTTGGAATGACAAATCTGTCAATGTGTTGATTGATTGCTAGTTCATTGTCCAATCCATTGATCAGTAATTGTTCAAATAAGTTGTATCCGAGTCGAGTTGTCAATCAGGATACCGTAACCTGACATCCAAACGATTGTCCAAATGATTGTTGAAACCATCAATGATTACCAGAATAAGCTTTACGACTCGACTGCAATAACCACCACAATCATGGTCAGGTTAGTATGTTGATCCGTTTACAAAGTTACAATACTGCAACAGATTCAACATACTCTTGAAAGTGCTGCACACCACATGGATCCAGCAAACCCACTGATGAATTGAACCAATCAATTGACCAATGACATGACTCGATATTGGACATCGAGTTGCACACAGTTGGTAAAAAGTCACCGACATGTTCAGATAGTCAAACCTTGACTACAGGTTGATATCATCACCCAACACACCAAATACTGTGAG